GATATCGAGCTTCAAGTTGACCAACGGAACACTTATCACACCACTTTTCAGCTTTTACTTCGATCTTGGACTACAGTGTACAAAAGTTCATCGATTTGTACAATACACACCGCGTGAAGTATTCAACAGTTTTGTTCACTCTGTTGTTTTTTCTAATCGAGCCGGCGATGAAAATGCAGTATCTGGCGTAGTACTCGAAACAATGAAACTTCTAGGAAATAGTTCCTACGACTATCAAAAATGGACAGATCAAAACATACAATGACAAAATATCTCGGAGACAAAAAAACCCACACAGCTATCAACAACCACCTCTTCAAGAGACTCAATATTGTAGCTAAAGCTTTGTATGAAGGGAACTTGTCAAATCTACTATAGAGCATTGTGAACCAGTTATAGTAGGATTCTTAATACTGCAGTATGCCACATTGAGATTGTTGGAGCTGTATTATAACTTTTTAGATAACTTTTGCGATGTCAACAATTTCGAAGAACTCAAAATGGATACAGATTCCCTCTAATTGGCTTTGGCAGAGGGAGATTTAGATGATTGTATCCTTCCCAGCAAGCGAGCAGAATGGACTGAAAAGCGAAGCGAGGACTATCGGGACGATTTCAGAGCAGACAATTTTTTCCCCCTAAACATGACAAGAGAGAACCAGGATTGTTCATGGAGGAGTTCAGTTGCACCGAAATGTTATGCCTGTGTAGTAAAATCTATTGCTGTTACGATAGTAAAAGTCAAAAGTATAAGTTTAGCAGTAAAGATCTGAACAAACGCGCATTAGAAGACTCTGGAGATGGCCCGATAGCAAAGTATCGACAAGTACTGGATGAGGCAGTGAGTTTGAAGTCAACGAATAGAACGTTTCAAACGATGAACCATTTAGTCGCAACTTATGAACAAACTAAGAAAAGACTGAACTGTTTTCACCCTCAATGGGAAGTTTAATGATACATACTAAACCTTTAATTTTGTAAGCGATTATGTAGTAAAATTGGATACGATGCTGTGAATTAATACATTTTCTCTGCTATTAAGGTTTTTTTTGAAAAATTCTTTTTAAACGCCACAATTGGGTTTACAGTATATTTTTCTTCGATTAGGAAAACATTAGAAATCTGGAACATTGGCAAAACCGGGTGATAAAAACTTGCCATCTGAACCTTACCATTCCCTATCTTAATACATTAGGAAAACTATTCCCTATCCTAATGAGTTCTTATTTCTCTACAATGATTTTCTAATTAATAAGGAAATCTATACGCTATCCTAATACATGACAAATTCGGGCGTCGAAAAAAAACTTACCATCTGAAATTTATCATCTGAAACCTGCTAGCTTAATACATTGGGAAACCTATTCCCTATCTTAATACATTGGGAAATCCTTTACTTATGTTAATTCATAGGGTACTGACCGGATGATCTACAGCCTATTTTAATTGCCCCGACATATACTACTTCAGTATTCACCAGGAAATGTTCACAAGCACTCAACTCCTCTTGGAGCTTCTTTCCATCTTCCCCTTCCTCCTCCACAATCTTGTTCAAATCTGCCATAGCATCACTTGGTTTGCGCTGTTTTGCTCCATGTCTTTTTCTCCGATGTTGCTGGAGATAGTAGAAACTCGGAAACTTATCGCAAGACGAACAAACAGTTGATTATTTGAAACTTGACGGAGCTTGCTTCCTGGCTACGTGGTAATTCATTTCTTGTTGATGTAAAATGAAACACCTCTAATCAGGAAAAGAAAAACTCCTTTAGAACAGTTTTTCCGGTGTCGAGCTGCGTTTTGACGAACGTACATGTTTACACAATTCCCAAACTGCACTTTCTCGTTTCTATTCAGCGACGGCATCTAAAAATGAGAGATTCATTAAGTATGAAAATAAAAAAATAAATACTTGTTACATATCAAAGTGGGAGATTTAAAATGTCGCAAAAATCTATTCAATGTATATTTTTACTTTTATTTTTCGGAATTAAGAGTGATTTTTTTTCGAGTAGTTAATAGAACAATTGCTTTTATCAATTGCTTTGTAAAATTGCTTTGTAAAAGAAAATCAGAATGAATTTGATTTATTTGCTCAAAGAAAACTAACAAAACAAACTGAGTTTCAACCAATCAGAAGTGAACAATAATAAAATTGATTTAATATTCGGTTTCTTTCATTGTTTGAGAGAGGTCTATTAAAAACACTTGATTTTGCTCGAGTTACTCTTCTAGAATAAAGAAAAAGTTCCACGTTGACTCTTACTTTTTCACAATTTGTTTGCACGTTTATGTTGTCCAAATTAGATTTCTCCGATTGAGTGAAGGTCTACTTAGAGAAACTTATTCAATCAAAGAGTTTACTTTTGATCCACATATCAAGGCTTCAAACATACGGCTGAATTACAGCTGTCAAGGCAAGAAATTATATATGTTCTAGAAGATTTGAAGTAAGTCGACAAGTCGTACAATAATATATCAAAGAGCTTTTTTATCCCCTACCCGATAACCAAATTTGTAAAAACTCCCCAGCAAGTTCTTCAATCTTTCATTTCTTCAAAAATTTGCAAATTTCAAAATACATCATGATCAGGTTTTGAATCAAATTTTCACAGATTTGCTTTGAAAAATTCCTGTTATCCTCTCAAATCTACGGCAAAATCAAAGAACTTGACTATCTACTCAAAACCAGCATTTTCTCATTGATTATCACAAAATATTCAATAAACCTGATGAAAAGAATTGTGGAAATGCTACTTGTTTTAATGTTCTTTCTTTTGATACTTATATCAGCAATATTTTTTATTTTTACAGCAAACAACCTTTGGTCATTTAGTTTTCCGATTTTTTTTGTGTATATTTTTACTTATTTGAAAGACTTAAGTCCCTAAAAGGTACCTCTTATTGGATAACCACCATAACATAAACAAATATTTTTGTTATTAGAAACGACAAAATGTAAAAAATTGCTAAAATGGATTTTTGTTTCCGATTCGACACGACTTTTATATAAAAATACCATAAAAAGAACTTGAAATTTGATTGGACATGGCTACAGACCAAATATGGAAAATCAAATTTGATTGGTGAAACCCACACATTTGATTTGGTTGTACCCCCCAATCTTAACTAAAAATCATTTTATTTTCATCGTAACCAATAATCAGTCTCACTATAAATAAGATAAAATAAGTCTTTTTTAGATTTTTGAAAAAAAATTATTCTGTGATATATTAGTTTATGATCCATACTCTAGATCGAAACTTCTTTTTTTGTCGAAATTTACCATCTGAAACTTACCACTTAAAATTTTTTTTTAGATTTTTCAAGATAAAAACATTTTTTCAACAAAAAAAAACATATTTGCAAGTGAAACTTGAAAAAAAATTTCAAAAAAATTTCTGAAACCTACCATCTGAAACTCAAATTTTTTTCTTTCGATTTTTCAAGATAAGAAATTTTATCAAGTAAAATTGAAAAAAAAAGTTTTCTGAAATTTATCATTTGAAACTTACCATGAGCCAAAAACATTATACCTTCATTGCACAATCTACAAGTAACACTGATACCCACCAATTAAAAAACGCGCGCCGATATTTTCGCGAAAAACCTAAAAACCAAAAAATATAGTTTTTCTTACCATTCTCTTACCATCACACTGAAACCAGACCTTTACCTATCTTAATACAATAAAAAATATATTCCCTATCTTAATACATAGCTTGCAGACCGGATTTTCTATTCCCTATCTAAAAACATAGGGTCTGCAACCACCCACCCCCACCCCCCTGACAATCTGACAAACTAACAACCAACTCGGCCAATTTGAAATTTGCGTTCGATATGGTTTGTTTTTCATGTGGTCGATATAATAAATATTTAAATTTTCACAATTTTTTTTCTCGTTCATTTGCATTCAGAACACAAGAGGGCTTGGTTGAGCTTTATTCTTTCTTTAACTGAAGTTAATTAAAAACTAGATTCAATTTCAATCCATAAACAGCTATTGAGGGTTTCAGGAAATTTTACTTGCAGTAAGATATAATGAAAAAACAAAACAATTTGCATCACGGCAAAGCCCTGGAAATTTCAAATTCCATTTAAGATTTTCTTTTAGATTTTGGCTTGGTAAAAAAGACGCAAGTAGTTTTAAATCAAAGGCATTCCTCAATGCACATTATCAAAAACAAATTGATAACATTTGCGTATACCATATTTGAAACAACTAGCTTATATCAACCCAATTGTTAATGAAAGCTCAGCCAGATTTAATCGCGTCTTACACTACGCAAGAAACATGGAGATATCGAGTGAATTTAAAAAAATCAGTTTCAGGTGTCCATTTTCAAGACCCCATAACTGTACAACTTTTTCCCGTGAGCTGTCTCGTTTTATTTTGAGCTAAATTACAGTTTTTATATTACATTATGCAATAAGCTATATATATATTTTTACAATACTTGCGCATACAAATAAATTTTAGGTCTACTAAGAAATTCCCGATAGTTCAAAAATCAATGTTTTAATGACAAAAAACTATCGAACACAAATACTCCGCCACCTCCTTCATAAGTCAGATCACATAGAAGGAACACGAAGGTTGCTTATAAAAAGGCAAAGCTCTGATAGTTCCGATTGTCTTTTAAGGTATCTGCTATATATCGTTTTAAAATTTATATGACTTTGGGTTTCTGATTGAACTTTTTGATTGTGAAATAAAGAAAAGTTCCCAAGGTTTTTTAAAAGTGGGGAAAATTGAACAGTCTTTTCAGTTAGTTTTTTAACTAAAAGATTCACGATTGTTAACTCTCGGATTTTTTAAATTTAGTTTCAATTTAATCTTTGAGTAATTTTCATTTTTTTTAAACGTCCTCTTAATGGCAGCAAATTAATATGTATTTCAACTTGCTGTGTGTTTCAATAAAGTTTTTGAAAACTAATTTTGTTTGTATTAAAAGTATATTTTATTCCAGTTTCCCAAGAAAGGCAAAGGTTGTTTTCAGATTCCTATCCTTCTCTTTGTCACAATTATCAACGCGTACTGCCTGCTAATTTTTTTCAAGACGGATGGGCTGATGTCACTGGACTATTTTCTTGTTATCTGCCAATGCATTTGCGATCTTGTTTTTAACGGTTTGTTTGGATTTTGTTTCTATATTTATTCGACCTATCTGTCAATCTTCTACTTCTGTGGAAGTGGCTCTTTTGTGGACACTCCGTAAATGGAAATCGTTTTAGAAGTTCAATCCAAGAAGACTGCTCATATCAGGGCAAAGCCCTGAATATTCCGACTGACTTTTAAGGTTTATGGAGCAGTATTAACATTGAAAATTAAATGTAACAAGACTGCTCGTATGGAGCAGTAATAACATAAAATTAAAATAAAATGAAAATGAACTAAAATAAAATGAATTTTTTGTCTAAATTTTGAAATTTTTATGAAAATAATCCCCCTACACGCCATATAAAGTACAAAAGAATAGATTTCGTTCCTTGTAACAAATTAAATATGACAAATAAGCTTCTTTCAACCAATTTGAAACAATTTCTAAGACGGATTAAATCTCCGCTTACGCGTTAATAGCGCGAAATAGATCGCGTGTTAATTGTCCCAATTGACTAAAATGGTAATCTTTAAACCCCTATATTTTTACAAAAATAACAGGACTTTTCAATGGATTATATACAAAATCACATGTGTCTAGAGCCCATTTTTTCCAAATATTTCAAAAAAGAGTTCAACAAATGGTAGCGATTATTTTTTTGAAGCTAAAGCTAAGTTATTTAACGTTTTTTCTCAACAAAATTTGGTACAAACTGGTTAAAAAAACTGCTCAAAAAACTATCAATTATTTGCAACCAAAAGCGAAATATAACTGCTCAAAAGTAAATCATTCAGAGCTGAAACAGCTTTGCTCAACAACTTCAGTAGAACTGGCACACAATTTGGTGTATGCCTGTTACTGGAAAACATTGACATTTTTTATAATTCTAAGATATGTCAGCACGATAGGAGGAAACCCAAGATCAAAGAAAGATCATAGAGAGCGGTATATTTGCTAGTTTCGGTTACAATTCACAAGAAGCACAGTTTGGCCTTGAAATGATTATAAGTAAACAAAGGCAAACGTTTTTTGTTCTGGTTAAACATAAAGGTATCAGTTAAGCAATGAAGCAGTTTTGTTAATGAAAAACCTAAGTTTTTGCTAAAAAAGACCGATAGAAAAATTGAAGCACAATTTGAAAATAAAAACATATTTTGTGTTATTTTTTGCAAGAAATGAAATTCGATGAGTTGTGTGTGGGAGCGTTCTTTAAAAACCTGGCAAGTTTCTGGTCTTACAATAAAAATGACCCTAATCTCTTAGAATTTAAAGCTGAGAGTTTATGCTCATATTAAATTTTAAAAAATTTCGCTGAAATTTGTCAGTTTGAAAGCACATGATTGGGCGCAGAATAGGCGCTGTCTTGAAAAAAAGCGGGTATGTTATTTATACCATTGTGACAGTTTTCATATTATTAAGTTTAATAAATAGATAGTTCGTGCTCATCATTATCAGACCAAACAGTGCACTGAATTGGCACACAATTTGGTGTATGCATGTTACTGGAGACCATAGAAAAGTCTTTATAATTCCAAGATATGTCTGCACGATAAGAGAAAACCCAAGATCAACGTTTTTTGTTCTGGTTGAACAAAAAAGTATCAGTTAAGCAAGGAAGCAGTTTTGTTAAAGAAAAACCTAAACTTTTAATGAAAAAGATTGGTAGAAAAAATGATGCACAATTTGAAAATAAATACATATTTTGAGTTTTTTTTGCAAGAAATTAACTTTAATGACATGTGTGTAAGAGCGTTTTTTAAAAACCTGGCAAGTTTGTGGTCCTACATTAAAAAGGTCCCTAATCTCTTAGAATTTAAAGCTGACAGTTTGTGCTCATATTAAGTTTAAAAAAAGTTTTTGACCTCGTTGGGGATCTACATTTACGCAGACATCATCCTGGTCTATCCAAAATGTGTGAAAATTATTTCTCCTACGAGAGTGATTTTCATTTGAATGAGGGCGTCAGGTAAGCTTTCATTTTTTATTTTCACAAAAATCACACGTTTCTTATTTAGAAGACAATTTTTTCATTTTTCAAAGTTTTTCTTTTTTTAAGTCAACAACTTCGAAAACTCTACCTAATTTTATGAGCCAGCCTTATCGGTAGAGCCAACGAAATCTTATCTGCTGAAGCACGCTGAAAAATTATATTTGCTTGAAAAAAGTGGGAGTTTTTAGTCTCACTCGAAAAGTGGATAAAGTGGTACATATACCAAAAAAATGCATCAACACTTGGTCAATGCGAGTGTTTTGGAGATAGGACTCAAACAATGTTTGGAGCGAATCAAATAATCGTAATTAGAATATGACCTAAAGCACCAGGACGTTAGCTGTAAAATTACTATCTCAATTTGCCATGGATCATTAACTAGCGCGGAGGGCAGCAAATGTGTAATTAGTTTCTTCACACTCTAAACTCACTACTGACCCTACAAAAGTTTAAATAATTGAGTTCAGAACTGCAGTTGGCAACTGTTGATGGTAAAAACCGCGTTGCTTCCGGAGGTTTCTTTATACTCTTGCTTCTCGCTTTATAGCGGTGATTATGATTGTTAAGTATTTAACACCAACCAACCCTTTTCAACCCTCAATTTTTACAAAAATTGTGTGAGAACTTGTCTTTCTGCAGACAGACAACTTTAATTATATTAGAAAAAAATTAAAAAGTTAGCATTCTATCAGTATTATTTAGAGACCTATAAAACAAGACTAGAAACATGATAACTAACGGATTAAGTATTTGCCGAACTCTATCAGCCGAAAATAGATATCTTGACTGACAGACAGCTTTATCTATGTGAAATTACTCTGTTATACAGCAGCCCAGTGAAACCAGTTCATAACAAGTTTTTTATGATTCCAAATATAACTTGGATAACTATCGCTGTCAAACACTTACAACTAACCAATTATGATCCATTACTAAAACTTACAATAGTTTTTTAAAGGGTGAAACTGTTTATAGTTTCTGCCAGAAAGAATAAATTTAACTGATACAGCAGTTGCCCTTCCTATCCTCTAATCTCACGAGAATACCAGTATCTACTAGATATATTGAGACTAAGAAAAATAAGAGTAAGATTAGGATCGGTATTAGACTAAGAAGTTGCACGAATATACCCGGCCAGAAATAAAACAACGTGACGAACAGACAATGTATGCTGTCCGAAATTACTCTATGAGAAAGCCACGCCGGACTCAAACTCATCTGGTGCGACCAAACGAGTCTCGAGCAGACCTATACTAACTTTTATTTAGAAAAACCAGACATAGATTAGAAAAATTAGCATCGACAAAAATCACCAAAATTTTATACCAAACCGAAGGTAAAGTTAACTTATTTCAAAGTCTCAATAAGTCAAATCAAATAAAGACGGTACTTACGCCGAAGCCAGGTCACAACAAAGACCACAAACCAAAACTCTGCACCGCAAAGCAAAAATCAGACTACGACGACTATTCGGCTTCAAATTTATTTCCGCAGTGAAATTTCGTTCATTACTATAAACTGCAATTGAAAGAGCCAAAGAATTGATTTTAAAGTGAATCGACGTTTGAGGTCGTAAGTCACTTATTTAAGAGCTGGCGATATTTTATTGAATGATCCAAGGGAAGCCTTGGTGATCTGAATTTTATAAATTAATTATGATTTGAAAATTGAGATTTGTGTTTTAAGGATGAAAATTTGATAAAGGATGAAGGATGAAGGATGGCCTTGATGATCTAGTTCTAACTGTTTAAAGTTAAGATACATGTTAAACATGGGAGGCCTTGATGAAATTTCATTGAAGATTTAATGATTTGAAATGAAAAAAAAACTAAAAAAAGTTACTGATGATCTAAAATTGAAATTAACATAGTTGTTTTAAATTGCGTTTTTCTTGATGATTTTAGGTGAAAACAAACAAAAACGGAAAAAGTTCTCGAGTAAAAACTTTATTTGTGTTTAAAACTAATCATAACTGCTTTTTTTAGCTAACGTTTTTGAATTTCTTTATTCATTCAATAAAATTACGGCAGATTTTAAAAATATTGAGTTAGATGGAGGTTTTATAGGCGACTAATTTCTTAAATCAATTTCATTAATTGTGCATTATAGTAAAATATGCGGCGCTGTTAATGATTTCACAGCTCTGATTATTGCAATTTATTTTAATGAGTGGAAATGTACTGCATAAAAAAGTTTGTAGAGAAATAATCGTTGTACTCTTTTTTTTTGCTTCACGAAGAAGAAATCCGGTCTGTCGTCTTGATTTTTACCTCACTTCAGCTCTATTTTCAACTCAATGTGATTAGACTTAATGAGATGGGGAAATAAGCTAATTTTGTTTTTGATTTGCTATAACATTTTTTCGATTATTTCTAATCTATTTTTTGTATTCCATTTCTGCTTCGCTGAATCTAAATTAGTAGATTTCTGTTTGAAACATGCTTGGTCGCACCAAATGAGTTTAAGTTCTGCTGGTGGCTCTCTCATAAAGTGTTTTCGGATAGGTATACCGTCTGTTCGTCACGCTATCTTTTTTTTCGGCCGGAAAGGTTCGCGCAACTTCTTAGTCTAATACCGATTCTAATCTTACTCATATATTTCCTATTCTCAATGGATCTAATATAAAGTGGTTTTACTGCGAGGTAACAAGCGATGAAGAGCTTGGTTTTGTTTAGTAAATTTTTGTGGCCGAAAACATAAATAGTTTGAGACGTAAAAAAAATTGATAAGTTTAGCCATGAATCATTATATATACACATACATACAAATTTACAAATATTCATACATACACGCAGACCTGCATACATGAGCAGATCCATACATTCATTCCTACATTAAAAGCACCACATACATCCAAACTTACATACATACATGCATATATAGGTACATACATACATACATGCATACATACATAGATACAAACATACGTAAACGCATACATATACATGAGCCAATAATATATTCATTCAAACAAACAAGCAAGATATACATAAATGCATAAACCTATACAATCATTCATACATACAAATAAACAAACATTCATATATATATATATATATATATATATATATATATATATATAAATACAAACATAAACTTTCACATACTTACCTTCAT